GGTAAGTCAGCACTCAGTTTCAGTCTCATTTCCTCAATGATCACACATGAATCACCAAAAGATTGATATGAAGTTAGATGGGAGTCTCAATGAATGATGAAATCAATTATGGCTATCTTGTATGAACATTGTTAAACTTTATGCTAATCCATTAAGCACTAATTTATACTTAGTTGGGATTGTTTTTCATGAGAAGTGATGCATATAAATCTAATAATCTCTTGAATGCAGAGAGGATGTACTCGGGAAATGGGAGTCGAGAAGCATATGCAACAATTCTCCATTCAGCTCATGTATATGTATGTGGAGCCATAGCTGCTGCACAAAGCATCCGCATGTCTGGCTCTACCCGAGACCTTGTGATACTTGTTGATGAGACTATCAGTGTTTACCATAGGAGTGGACTAGAGGAAGCTGGGTGGAAAATCAGGACAATTAAAAGGATCAGGAACCCAAAAGCTGAAAAAGATGCTTACAATGAGTGGAACTACAGCAAGTTCCGGTTATGGCAGCTGACGGATTATGATAAAATTATCTTCATAGATGCTGATTTACTTACACTTAGGAACATTGATTTGTTATTTTCAATGCCAGAGATTTCAGCAACTGGTAACAATGGCACACTTTTTAACTCTGGTGTGATGGTTATTGAGCCTTCACTTTGTACATTTCAGCTTTTGATGGATCACATCAATGAGATTGAATCCTACAATGGAGGAGATCAAGGATACTTGAATGAGATCTTCACATGGTGGCATAGAATTCCGAAACACATGAACTTCTTAAAACACTTCTGGATTGGTGATGAGGAAGAGGTTAAGCAAAAAAAGACTAGCCTTTTTGGCGCTAACCCCCCAATTCTGTACGTTCTTCACTACCTCGGGAACAAACCATGGTTATGTTATCGAGACTATGATTGTAATTGGAATGTCGATATCCTTCAAGAGTTTGCGAGTGATGTGGCCCATGAAAGATGGTGGAAAGTACATGATGCAATGCCTCAGCAGCTGCATCAATTTTGCCTCTTGAGATCAAAGCAAAAGGCACAACTGGAATGGGACAGAAGGCAAGCAGAGAAGGCAAACTTCACAGATAGACATTGGAATATCAAGATTAAAGACTTGCGTTTGAAGAAATGTATCGATAAGTTATGCTCCTGGAAAAGCATGTTAAAGCACTGGGGCGAGACAAATTGGACCGATGATGAATTTTTTACTCCAACACCACCTGCAATCACCACAGCCTATCTTCCTCAATTGTGAGTTACAGTTTCAATTCTCGATATTCATGTAAATGGTTCTGAAAATGTCATATGGTTTCACTACTTCCCCCTTTTTCTTCAGGCTTCTAAGAGTTTTAGACACATTATATATATGATTTGGTCAGAGTACTAGAATTTTTGTATCGAAAACTGTTACTCATCTCAGAGGGAAAGATTTGTTCAATTTTTTTCTCTCTTTCCCCCTGATCTATGTATTTCCTCACAGATTGGTCATATATCACTCAAATTATTTCTTTTTTTAAATAAAAAGTGTAAAAAATGATATTCACAAAGTATAGGGATACCGCAAATTTACAAAAAAATTTACAACTGTGTTAGACTATTTATGACTTTTCCAAAATCCTCCATTTTATAAATATCACACCCAAAATTAATGACTCAAAAAATGAAAACATCCATTCCTGACTTCAGGTATCTCATCCACATTACTCTCAAAAGCCCTACTACTTGTTTTTCTCCATAAAATCAAAAGATAGTAAATGGAAATAAAATTTACAAATGTCTTTTTTCGCGTAAACCTTCCCAAACTCATAGCTCATCCCTCACTGCCCCCACAATAACCCAGTTGATCCCTAACAGACCATTAACCATTTTCCATAATTCATAGGCTATTGGACACCATAGGAGAATATAATTACATGATTCAGCAGTTTTCTTGCACAAGTATCCATTTACTTTTATCTCTTTTCAGTAGTGTTTATCAATTGTCAATATGCTTTCCCGGCTTACCTCCCAGGCCAAAAAAGCTGACTTTTGGAAGCACCTTAACTTTCTAAATCTGATAAGCCGGGAAGTTGGGAACCTCATTCTGCTTTCTGCGCACTAAATACTTATAATAAGACCTGACCATGAATTCTTCATTCTGTTTCAGTTTCCACACAAGTTGGTCCCATATATCAATCAAATTTATGATTCTGATACCAAAATCTTAAGCTGCTGTCTGTTCAAGATTCAAGAAATTTTTTTTTTTACTTTTCTCAAACTTTAAGCAAGAATAAGAATGAGAAAATACTGATTTGTAAACCACAATATTAAATAAAGCAATGGGTAATGGGCTTAAGAGGATAAGAACACTGATATCTAAGTGGATGCCAGTTTTTCTTATGCTATACACATAGTGGAGTCGCCACTATTTAACTGGTAAGCTCTTGGCTAATGGAAGATTCTGTCCAACAAGAAAGACGACTAAATATATATATATATATATATATATATATAATCACAATCTGTCAGTAGAACCTTCCTAACTTACCTCCATTTTCAGAAACTTGTTCTTTTTTTCCCTGTATATTTATGGGTTCATAAATATAAAGCTGCTGAAGTACTTATTATATACTTTTAATCATGTTGGGACAGAGAACTTAGGCAAGTGATTGTAAAGCAACAACTTTCAATATATATAAATATAAATATATATATATATATATATATAGATGTGTAGCCGTTTATAATGACGGGAATAAATTAAAAGTATGTATAAAGGATAAGAAGTGGCAAAAGATGGAATATAATGTATGGTATATACAATGTTCATGAAAATCACTTTAAATGCTCATTATGAAAATTTTTCAATGTTTTTGTTTTTCTCTTTTTCTTTTTTTTTTTTTTAGTCGTCTCCAAAATTCTATTTTCTTGCTTTGTTTTATTATCTTTATTATTTTAAATTCTTTTGAATTTATTAATAATTATTAATGATGTATATTTGCAATCATGCAATCGTTATAATTACAAAAAATTATGTCATCATCCTCAAATGTCTTCGTACTTACCCGAAGTTATTTCATTCGACATTTGTTTTTTGGATTAGAATTTTTTTCAATGGAATTTTTGTAAGAATTTATCTATAAAAAAAATATATCCTTTCAAATACTTGATGAGGGGAGAACGAAAGATTTGAAGAAGAACAGAGAATTTTTTTAAAAAAAATTGAAATAAAAATAAATTACTATTATGCACAAAGTATCATGAGGGTACTATTGATTTTTTATTATATATATATGTACTTAAATAGTTCATCAACTTAGTAATATTCATAAATCAATCGTAATATAATTTAATTTGAATTTAAAAATTTAATATAAAAAATAAAATAAACGTTCTAACCATTAAATTAAACAAAGATTGATTATGATGATATATTGCAAGTACAATATTTTGTGTTTTTATAAATTAATATATAATAAAACATAGAAATAAAACGAATTACAACTAATTTTACCAAATAATGTTGGTGGCTTGGGTCATCAAGAAACAAACTACTTTGGTGATGCAAAGAAGACTTTTGCCCCCCTCCAACACGCCAAAAGGAAAAGAAGAATTGAATAATAATGCAGAGAGATAGAGTAGCCACCAAAACAAAACTACATACCTCATAGTAGGTTGCCAAGAGGCATGTGATCCCATTACTTCTACCTTCATATACACACATAGATACATACATATATATAATATAAGCGACAAAAATGGCATGGCAACTAACTATGTGCAAAACTTAATCACAACGCACTCCCTTCCTCTTTCCATCCCTCTCCCATCTTTGCTTCCAAGTTAATGAAACGCCACGCCCTCGAAAGTCATTTCCGTCTTTGTCGTCTAACTTCATCGCCACAATTAACCTCGTAACTTCTAATCATAATATAAACTTCTGACAAAAACACACAAAAATGTATAATCCGATTTAAAGTTACAACTTCTTATAAAATAAGGGAAGTAACAACCATAACCAACTAATAAATTTTTCTCTTCGTCTCGTCTCTTTTGCTTTTTGACCTAAACCGGTGGAGCAATGCGCAATGAATTGACTCTAAAAGTCCCCCCCATAAAGTCCACAATACAGCTAGTCGCCAAACACAGTAGACCTTTGCTACTAATCTAAGTCATTAACATTGACTCCAAAAGTCCCCCTGAAGTCCACAATACAGCTAGTCGCCAAATACAGCAGACCTTTACTACTAATCTAAGTCATTAACATTGTTGTGGAAACAACTAGGCTCATCTCATTTTCAACCTATAACTAATACATGGAGTAGTTGTGTATTACTCTGTAATCTTTATTGGAGTAGTTCCGTTAACAGAGGTTGGTAACCTAAAAGATTGGGAAGGAAAGCAAGTATACCCAACATGTGCAAGCTCTATCATTCCCATATGTAATCCATAGCATGCCACATATTCCACAACTGAATTTATACTACTCTCCTGTATATTCTAAAATTTATATAGTTAAATATTTATTTGACATAACTGATACACTCTCAAGAAGAAGTTACAGCCCATTCATCACCTTGAATGAAGTTGTTTACTGAGTATGTGTTGACATGCTCTTCAGGGATCTGGCTACTCCACGAAACCCTATGAGAAACATCAGCTCCTGGCCCCGAATTCTTGTATTCCCCATAGTAAAGTGTTTTCAATGCAAAATCACCACTCCATGGCATCCATCCGGCCGGAACAATGAGAGCTTCCAGGGTACATTGGATGAAAACAGTCCTTGAATACTCCTTCCATGGTCTTCCCAAGTAGTTTATATGAACTGCAGGCTTGCTATGGAATAACCTCATGTATTCCTCAGTGCCATTTATCAAACAGTTGTAGAAAACAAAACCTGTTGACATGGAAGGGTCTATTCTGCCATGAGCTGTGACTGCATTGTTCTCCCCATGTTCTGGTTTTTGTTGCCGAGGAGCAATTAAGATGATACAATCTTCGAAAACTGCAGCTGAGGCTCCAAAGATGAAGTCCACATTACCCTGGATGCTGCATGATTTGTAGTACTGGCGGAGTGAATGAGCGTAAAGGGTATCCTGGTTGCCTAAAAATTCACAGTCCTGGATTACGGAAAAATCACTATCTGATCTAAATGCTACAGCCTGGTGAGCATCAGGACCTGCTGTATTCTGGATCGTGATACCAGTCGCCATGAATCCATCACCAAGAATTCCTGCAATCATGACATAAAAATAAATCAAAAACTAATATAGACAGACAAGACAACATAAGAAATGCTTATTTTCCATCCAACAACCTTAACACAATCTCATGAATTTGAAGCCGGACAACTATTGTTATCCCTGTTTGTTTCGTGATCTTTAGCTTTACATATAGCTGAAGAAACTTTTAACAGTTTCCCAATATGATACGTTATAATGCTCTCCTTAGTTTTTAGTTTGAACACCAAGAATCCATATATGGCTTCAAACTTAAAGATACTATTCCTACATCTTTCATTCAACATGTAGTGTATATGCTTAGGATTATATTAAAATATAATTAATAACTCTAACAGAGGAAACAATAAGTAAAATCACCATACCTTCAAACTACCATGAAAAAATCCAGAAATTCAAGGGAATCATTACTATTATTATTCTTTCTAATATTTGTGAAGTTCCAGGAAGGCCTGGAGACAACTGGAAAATCTAATTATACACTTCCAGTCCTTTTTAATAAAAGACTGCACATGATGCTAGAAGAGAGAAAAGTTCTGTCTATTGCTCAGGAGGCAGGATCCAAATGAAAGAAAACAAATAAAGCAACAATCGGGCACGGTACATGATCTCCATACATGACACATTCTATAATCTGCATAACTTAATTATAAATTAATAAACTCTTTCTAACTTAAACTTGGTATGTTTTAAACTGTTCAATTTTTTACTTAGACTTATCCTGGGTACTTGAACTTATCCTGGATATCTTTTACTTAATTTAATGAAAGAGAAATTACAGTTTATCAAAACCAACTGAAAAAGCTTTTGTTTTTTCTTACTTCCACCTTCTAAACTTCATATGAATTACCAACCATGTCTCCAAAAAGGATCTTGCAAAAAGCTTATAAGCTTTTTGCTCCTCCCTCCCTCCTCCGCCCCGCACTCCAAAACACGATAAACTAAACATCGAGTTAGCGAATCCCCTCTAAACAAACTTAAACTTGAAAGAACCCATGCAAAAAACAATGAATAATAATCACTAACTGGCAACTTACCGACAGTAGCAGACTCATAAGTACTCATCCCAGGTTGTCCTACATTTGACGATCCTGTAATTACTGTTTTGCCCATCCCATCACCCACGAACACCACGTTTTTCTTCTCAAACGGAACCCTCACTTTCTCCTCGTAAACACCTTCTTTTATGTGTATCACGAACCTGCTCGTGCCGTCACTTGGGGCCGCATTAACGGCCTCCTGCACCGTCTTATAACACCCGCTACCCGCGTCCTTACACACCGTTACATCCGCCGTTAAATTCGACGGGAAGCCCAACGCCCCCCCACTTTCAACAGACCCGCCCTTCTCCCAAAACCCGTCCCGTTCCGTCCGGGGCGCCGTCCAAGAGCTCACCGCGTCCCCGAAGTTATCGTACGACACCATCATGCCAAGCGCGTTACTGCTTAACCCAACCAGGGAGTTCAGAAACGACATCGTTTTGTTCACCCCGGTGGTGTCGTTAACGTACTTCAACCCCGACCAGCAATCGTACTGGTACGCCAATGCAGCGCTCATCCAAGCACGTGCGTCCTTGATTCTGCCACGTGTCAGTGCGTCATCCGTTGATGAGGTACGGTACTGAGAATAGGAGAGGACCTGGAGGCAGATGTTGGCCGCATTAGTGCGGTTCAGGTTCCCAACAGAGGATTTCAAAATGTCATTTACCATGGATTTAGCGGTAATGAGATTTTGGGAGGAGACCCAGATGGCCGATTGGATAATTTGGAGGGGTGTCGGGTTCGGAGGTAGGCGACTGGACTGAGAGAGAGAAGAAACACAAACGTCGGGGTATCTGGTGGCCTTGCAGGCTTGTTGGATCTGGGCAAGGGGTGGAGACGAGGAGTCAGGGGAGGTAGAGGGAGAGAGAGAAGGAGAGGAAGAGGAAGAAGAATGGGAATGATGGTGGTGGTGCCGGGTGGCGGAGGAGACATTGAAGAAGATGAGGAGAGAAAGGAGGGAGAAGAAGAGGAGAGAAGACATGGTGAGAATGAGGAAGAGAAGGGGTTTGGATAGTCTCTTTTGGTTGTTTTTGTGTGGGTATATCTTGGAAGGGGATATAGAGGATTCAGAATGTGACTGGGATGTAATGGTCATTGTTTCAGGTATTTGTAATGGTGGTAAGTGAAAATTTGGAAACGAGTGACGTGTGATAAATTTTTTTTTTTTTTTTTCTGTGAAATGATTGAATCTGATATAGGGAACGAAGTGGATTTTCACGGGTGCGGACAGAGGATCACGGGCTTTTGTTTTTGTTGTAGTTGGTGGATAATGGAAGGGTAATTGGTGGAAATGGCGGGCGTGGCCACCATCCTCACGAGACCGCAAATAGGGTGTTGAGATTATGAATGAAATTTAGAGATTCAGATCTCCACTTTCGAAATCTTACTTCTTCTTCTTCTTTTTCTGGGCAGAGACTGGAAAAAAGCTGCCCTCAAATCATGCACGCCAAAAATGTCTTTTTTTTTTTTTCGGGTAGAAATTATTTGTTATGTACATATTTTAATTTTATAGAAGAGATTAAATGAAATTCAATTATTACACGGAAGAAAAAAAACGCAATTTAGTTGGGAAAAATATATTTTTTAAAAAAGACGAACTTTGCAATTATTTGATTCGAGTTCTCCAGTTAAATTTAGCTTTAACGGTAACGGAGCGACGTTTATCTTTAAATACCTTTCATTTTTCCGGTAATCATTTAATTTGCTTAACTAAGACATAATAAAATTGCAATGTATTAATTATTTATGCAGATTATTTATTGCAGCATTTGGTTTATTAAGTTTCATCCCATTAAAATTTTATTATTACATAAATATAATTTAGGATAACAAACTAATTAATTACGCTATAATTTATTTCTAATTTTTTTCTTAATCTTCAATAATCACTTTTGTTAGTAAAATATCTAATATATAGTCTTGTTTATAAATACGTTTCTTTCAATTTGTGTATGTACATATATATATATATACATATATGCGTCCATCATCACTTTCTTAGCTAACTATTTTAAATATATAACAGATATTTTTTATTACGATTTTTAATATTTCTAACAATATTGAGTTCACCAACTATTCTCTTATTGGTTAAATAATTAGTATTTTATTTTTTTTTATAATAAATTGTGGATTCAAATTGGATTATATTTTATTTTTGTATGTTTTAGTTAGTAAATTGTGTTATAATTTATGTATGTATAACATTATGATTGATTCGTACTAAAAAAATAATATTTTATCCTACCATTATTAATATATAAAGTTATCGTGATTAAATACAGTAAATAACATAAAAATACCAAAACCTAACACGTAGTATAATATATATGGCAAAGGGACTTATAATCTTAGTAGAAGTTAGGCCTTAAGTGTGGCTCCAATTGCAATGTCTAACTTCTATTTGGTCTATTATTATTAAAATACAATTGTACGCGTCCTAATTCATATCTATTAACAAATTTATAAAAAATTATTGTATAACTCGTATACATTAACATTGGACGTGAATATAATGAATACCATACTAAATGTCAAATCTTAATGAACAATAACATTTATGGTAATATAAATTATTGGTAACATCTAATAGTAAATATATGATAAAAAAAATGTAAACTTTTTATATGTTCAATAATAATGTATGACAAACAAAATAAAAATTTTGTTAAAAATCAATATAATTTATCATCACAAATTATAGACATTTAGCATTTCATTGCATATATAGTAATGAATATTTACAGCAATATAGATGTTTATAAGTTCAAAACAATATTAAAAAAGAGGATTTATTGAGAGGAATGTTCCAAACCAAAATGAATTATTTTTTTATTTTGCTAGTTAAAAATAATAAAAAGTAAAAATAAAAATTAAATTATTTTTATTTTATATTTTTTGTGGAAGTCAATATATTTCACCTCGAAGCGGAACTAAATTAAAACGAATTAATCTTTTGGGTATTTTGGTACCCATATTGAGGACCGTATTAAATAATATCTCATCTAATTTATTTTAAAATATTACATTCAGTCCAATTTGGTTTATAATATGAACAACAATTTAAATGCTCCTACATAACAACATTTTATTGTATATATGATAATAAAAAATAACATCTTAGAATTATTATGTAGTCTTATATGTATAACAAATATAAATAATAATTATCAGTATATGAATATTTGAGATTTTATTCTTCTATATGCTTGAAGTTTGGAAAAGAAAGTTTATTTCAAAATATATGAGAATTCCCATTTTGTAATTGAGTCTTCTAGAAAAATATTTGAACGATGACGCTTAGCACTAAGATAAAAAAGTAGTTGTAAGTAGTGAAAGTTAATATTTAAAAAGAAAAAACAAAAAGAAGATGATGAAAAGTTTCTGGTTGTTAGTTCGATGAGATGATATGAATACAAGCTTGGGATCAAACCTTTATAAAATTGAATTTGTATTTTCTATACTCTTATCTCTTAATTTAAATATTAGATTTAATTTACAAGTTATGAATTAACGATTAATTTGTTTTTGCGTACTTACTTTGTTTATTAATTGAATACATTTGGTGCTCTAGTTGCTTTTTTATCTTCAATTTATTATCATAACATAAATTATTTGTTGAAAACATTTGATAATTGTTCACCCGATCATACATTTAAGAAACAACTAATTTAAAAGCTTGAACATCACCTAAGTTGTTATCCTCAAGCATTCGTTACTTCTTGAGTTGGACTAATTGCATACAAATTTTAGTAATTCCCCACTATATGCAAAAATTAACTCTTGGATCGCCTTATATTTGGACCAACGAAAATCAAGGAAGCATATGTAGAAAACATATTTTTTAATGACGTTTTTGTGGTTAAAAGCGAGATAATTTTATTTACTTGAAAGATGCTCGCAACTTAATATATTAGAACTACTCTCTGTTCTCCAATTTTATCACCCAAGTAGATTATTGAGAAGCAAAATTGAGGGTTTTGCTTGATAAAATATTGTGTTTTTGTAACATTGATTGGATTCCCACAATCTCTAACAAGCCAACACACAGTGTAGTTAAATGGGTTGTTTTGGGCTCCTTTTTTAGGGCTCATTGCTTGATTATATTATTGATATTCTCCTCTAATACATCATTTATGTTTGTAGATTCAAAGTCAAAGAGAAAAATATATACTCACAGTATTATTTTGTAATAATCTCAAAATTTTCCAATTGGATTATGAAAGTAAGTGAGATTAAGGATTTTGGCTTTAAACAAGTAGAATCTGTTTAGGAGAAAGTGACAATGTGAAATCTTATTATTATAATTTATGAAATAAACTTTAAATTTACAAAATTTGAAGTAAATTCTATAATAGGCGCTGAGCCCACTTAATGCAAAAATAAGAGCACGGTGATTCCACCGCAGGGTAGTAAAACCCAGCGCGAGCAGCGTCGACCGCTTTAAGTGAAGGAGAAAAGGGCTTACAAGGCTGGGGCCCATCAGCTGGGCAAAAATCTAAGCTCAGGTTTTCGACGTTTTATACACAAAGAGGAGGCCGCGACTCTCTACTTCTTCGCCTGTGCGCTCTCTCTCTTCTCTCTCTCTCTCTCGCGCGCGAGCGCGGGTCTTCACCTCCCTCTCGGAGCGCAGATGGAATGGCGAACTCAACTTGCTCCTCGAATCTTGATTGAAGTACGACGCTAGAGTTATCTATCTACATCCACGTGAGTCTTCTTTTCTCTCTTTCGTATTCAGTATATTACTTTGATAATTTGTAGGGTTTTTGTTCCTTCTTTCTCCTTCGAAATTTTGATGTGAATCCAACTTGCAATGAAGTTCTTGGACGACAATAGAGCTTTCTCTTAGGGTTTACTTCGTTTTCTGAGTAATAGGTCTTTTAATTTTTAGCTTCGTATTCTGATTTCAAGCTTTACGGTTTAGTGAACTTTGGGACTTCGAGTTTCTAGCTTGAATCTTACGTGGTCGGTTGTTTCTTTTGCTTTTTCTTTCAGTTGTGTTTTTAGGCATGGGATGATTGCGGTGCAAATGTTAAAATAGTGCAATTAGATTTTATTATAGTCGAACCAAATTTGTGACTTTTACAATTGCATAGTATTATCGAATCACGACTTTGTCTAATTAGTGTCAAGACTTCAACGGTTTGCTGCTTTTCCAATCCCGTTCTATGTGCCATGTGACTTCTAGGTTGTTGTCGTGGAACTAAGGCATGGCACATGAAATTTAGTAAGACTTGTAGTGTAACATTTGGTTTTTTTTTGCTGCATTTTAATTCTTATGATTCTTGCGTGGACATGTCTGCTATTGTTTTGGTGCTGTTTTGGTGTTCACTTGCTGGTCCTTATTTTTATTTTTATTTTTCTTTTTCTTTTTGTTTAAAATTTTAGTATTCTTTCTTAAATTTCTTCTTGCAGAATTTGCAATTTTCGAACTTTGAGATTGGTGGGGATTTTTGTTTATTTTTCAATCGACGTTATAATTTTTTGCCCCTTATTTCAGCAATAAAACATGTGATATCCTACCTGGAAAGTAAAATGTGGCCCTGCCTAGTCTGCAATATCTTTTCTGTATGCCCAGGCGTATTAAGTAGACTGCAGGATTCTAGCTGTTAGGAGGGGTTATCTCCCTTGTGTTTTAGCTCTGTATCTCAGTAAGAGTAAATTTGTGAGGGTGCTAATATCGAATATAATTTTCCTGCAGTATTTTTACAAGGTCAATGCTTGAAGGGATTACCAAGTGAATTCAATAACTGATGCATTTATTTTGCAATGGGATTCTCTCCTTCCAGAAGAAAATATTGGATATTAGCACCTATTGTTCAATACTAATTTGTGTTAGGAGTGGATTCTGGTGGCCATTCTAAGAGGATTTGGTATGGCAAATGAAACATGGTCATAGTTGAAGAATTAGCAAGAGTCCATGAATCTACAAAGTTATTATGAAGAGAAGAACAGCCCTGGAAGAAAGACCATATATTTGTATATTATCTGAATGAAGCAATTCCCTAGCGCTCTTCACAAGCAAGTCTTGATGTACTAGAACGCTATCTAAATGAAATTTCTGAATAAGTTAGTGAAGACCATGGATATGCAGTTTCATTCTGCAAGTAAAACTTTTTAGTTGGTGTGACTAGGAAATTTTATTGAAAAATTTTGTATGTCCAGATGATTATATACTTGCTGATTTCAGAGAGCAAACAATTCACAGTTTTGCAAACTTATGCAGAAGCTATGTTGTTGTCTTGGTTGGTTCTTGATGTGGGTATGACATTTGCTGGATCTTAGAACATCATTCCTTCGATGACATTGAAGCATAGCCATCAACTACCAAATATTTTAGTTGTTACAAAATTGGATTAGTTGTTTATATCGCTATCTATCCATGTGCAATTTTTGTTTTTCTGAAACATTTACGAGTGCAGTATTTTTGGAGCTTTGGATGTCATGGATATGAGTTATGTGAAGGGAAAATTTTCAACCATCACGTTCATTCTCCAAGTTTTGATTAGGTGTATTTTGGCCCAGCTTGAAGGACAACAAAGGCGCTTTGTGCCACTTGGTATGAATTTTCTTGAGTGCTTTCTTTATGAACTATAGATCTTTTAAGTGAAGTTATGACGAGCCAATAGTGGGCCCTTTTTCATAACTCTTTTCATCATCGTAATGGAGTGTCCCGTCAAATTGTTTTCCTGCACAAAAGATCAAGAGTTACTTCAAGCTGTTTGTGGGAGGGGTAGAAGGTGGTGGCTAAGGACACAATTTTATGTTGTAAACCTGAGTTTGAAGCTGTACTTAATATAGATGCATCCCCATGTGCTTCCAAGTTGTTAATACTCAGATTAACTTGGCAAAGTT